TTAAATGAAGAAACATAAAGGGCAAGTGACACAGAATGGAGAAAGGACAAAGGAATTAAACTAGCTTAACTTTTAAATGTACCCTTGGTATTCTCCTAGATTCCCCTGTGGCTCTGTGAATATAAGCTCCCTACTTCCTGTCAAATGTACTTGAAGCCAACCTACATACTACGAGTTACTATAAAAGCTACTGCAAAGCTACTATACTCAAAAGACCAGATTAAATGTATAGAAACTCCTTGTGTGATTATTTCAAGCAGTTTATGAGGATCAGTGGCATTATCAATTTTGTTCATAATATAAAAAAATGCTTTCATAAGCTCAGCGGGTTGGGAAGCGCATCTGTAACTGGAAGGTCGCTGGTTCGATCCCCGGGCTCTCTGTCCTGGTCGTTGTGTCCTTGGGCAAGACATTTCACCTGCCGCCTACTGGTGATGGCCAGAGGGGCCGATGGCGCGATATGGCAGCTTCTGTCAGTCTGCCCCAGGGCAGCTGTGGCTACAACTGTAGCTGCCTCCACCAGTGTGTGAATGTGAGAGTGGATGAATAGTGGCATTGTAAAGCGCTTTGGGTGCCTTGAAAAGCGCTATATAAATCCAGTCCATTATTATTATTCATATGTAAATGAGATTCCCAATGTTTATTTCTGCAGTATTATCCCTGTTTCTGTGACATTTCAGGGTTTTTTCTGTGTTTTATCACTTTGGCTGCAAAGTAGTTCAAGTTGAACCAGCTGTCTTCAAACTTAGTGGGTATTAAAACTGCTACGTTGCAGTTTATGAGTATTAAACTGGCTTCAGGCTAACATGGCAGAAACAAACCGTCCCACTCACTCCCTCCTGCTGGCTCCCACTCCCTGTAGTCTAAATCATCTCACTATTGTTTTTAGCCGCACTCAGAAGGTTGGAGTCAGAAGGTGGAGATGACTTCTGGCTGAGAGTGTTTTGCCCTTCTAGACAATCAATAAAGTCGTCTGCACGTTGCAAGAAGACAGACCGATGCTGATGGGAGACTTCACCGAGGAGGTCAAGAGTGCTGTTGTGAATTATGTCCTTAATAAAAAAGAAAACATCAGCATCACAGCAGCCTGTAGAGTGGAGCCTTTCTTTATAAAGAGGCGGTAATCCGGGCTTAGCAAAGGTATTTTGCCTCTGAGTAGTGTTAGTCTGGGGTTAAGCTGTCTTTGCTACAGATATCTGGGGGCTAGAGTTATCACAGGCCTTGATTTCCTTGGAATCAATCTCCCAATTGTCCGGAGTGTCCCGTCTCTGCCGAGTCCCTGATGGATTTTCTAACAGTCAGGGTTTTTTTCTAACATCTATTTGCTCTCTGGCTCTCTTGCTGTGTTTGTCTCTGTCGCTTTTCCTCTTTGCGTATGTGTTATCATACAGCAACATACCTCAGAGGAAGTAAAGGACTTCTCTCCTTGTGGCAGGAATGTCAGCTTGTATAAAGGCAACTCTTCAGATGAGTGGCAGCTGCAAACAGAATAAGAGTCTTACACAGTTATTTTTATATTTATATATATGTGTGTGTGTGTGTGTGTGTGTGTGTGTGTGTGTGTGTGTGTGCTTCCTCATCAGATGGTCTCCTTTTTCACTTGCATGGTTCCCAGGCTGGCCTGAGGCAGAACCTAATCTGGTCTCATAGCTCGATTGCTCCACTTTTCACTTAGCCAGTTACTATACAGGCAGTCTAGCAAGGCTGCCATGAAGGTGAATTTTTAACTTTCACATCCAAGTAAAAGATGAACTTCTGAAAAAACGCACTGGCACTGCTCAGTGGAGCATTTCACGGGCCCTGAGTGGATATGCAGCGTTTTTTAATCATTTGAGGATATGCCAGGTTAGATCCGTCAGCTGGCAACAAATTGTGTGAAATGGAGTGTTTTGCTGGCTTGCATCCTATAACTATAATCTTTAAAGTGTGATTGATCCTAAATTAGGGCAACGTGGCAGAAAGGAGGACAACAAAGAGTAAAGAAGGATGCTTGGATCAGTTTATTGGCCTCTGGGTGTGTGGAAACATCTGGACTCTTTCAGTCAGCAGTATTGAGCATCCGTATTCAAGTGTTAAAATATGTTGGATTTCTGAAAGCTACTGTTTTTCCCTGGGTTGATGCATTTAAAGTGGAATTAAATTGCATTTTGTCTACTACAGCGAACGTATCTGCTCTGTAAATCGCATGAGAAGTTTATAGCTTATACTTTTTTCACAACAGCACCCTCTGTCTGTGCATTAATCCCTCTGAATGCTACATATTTACTGTCTGCAAAGACGGATAACCTGTTTCCATAGAGTCGGATCAAATTGTTTGGTCTTAAACCATATTTGCATTGAGCAAAAGGGTTTCTCGTATATAGATGGTTATATAGCAGCCTGCTAGAAACTACAATAGCTACGGTTGTTGAATAAAAGCCTTTCCTGCTAAGGCCTGCGTGACTGACAGACAATAACACAACCTGCACCGTAGCTTCCTAAACATTGCTCTAAACAAAAATGCACCTAGAAAGATTTTCCTTCCAGGGTCATTTTGCAGGTTTGGCACTAGGTAGCATGCCAGTTACTGCACATTACCACCATGTATGTGTATCTGCATCTGTTTAGACAGAGGTTTGGTCCTTGCTTTTACTACCAATGCTAACAATTGTCCCTCTGTGGCTGGTCACTCCTACAGACATTGACATGGCCCTCCAGCTAACAATGAAGAAAATAAAAAGAAATTTCAAGAACCATGCAGCCATTAGAAATGAGTCGTGTCTTGGAATTAGCATCTTAGGCCACAGAGCTAAACTTCCTGCAGGCGGCATTCATGGATAATTCTTCAAACAAGGGCTCTAAAATCCCAGTAATCTCTTCATGAGACAGACTGCATGAGTTCAGACCCTCCTGAGACCATTACTTATTTACCAATGGTGCGTTTTATAATGGTAATCAGGGACCTATCATTCAATTGTAACAGCGGACATGTTTTGCATTGAAAGCTGTTGTTTGTGTGAACCTGTGTTCCAAAGTATTTTCACTGAAACTCATGTTTAAAGTTTATTCTCTTTCATTTCACTAAACATGCTTTTTTGTAGTGTATTTATGGTGTGAATGTTTCTGTGCAAAGCTGATACCTTTGGCTATTTAATACTCGACGCTGCAATATGCTGGTGTTAACGAGGACACTCTATCCATTGCCTCTTTTGCACTCTGTGTTCTCAGTGGTGCTTCAACAGCAATTCAGTCTCAATCTGTTGTGCCCTGACTCTACCTGAAAGCACAGATGAGCCTAGACACAAGTGCCCAGGTCCCCGAGGCCCTGGGAACCTATCAGGGGCCTGAAAAAGCAGATTCAATCTAGCTGGACAAGCTCTCAACATCCCCTCTATTAGCCCTGCAGTGCCTGGCAACCACCGCCACAATATCAGGCCTTCGGTTTGCATGGTCACCCTAGAGAGACGATAGCACTGGCAAAGTACAATAGCTGAACATAAAGAAGGGTTATTCTAAAGGCCCGTGGGAATGCTGTGCCAGCACAAATGTACGGAGAGGGCACAAAGAGAACTCGTCAAGGAGAGCCGAAGAAGGATGACAGAGAGAAAGCGAGAGAAAGATAATCATGAAGCAGGAGAAAATAAACAGATTAAAAGGAGTTCAGCTTGGTTGCTTTGCGTGTTCACGTGCACTCCCACATGTTTATTACCCTTGCCTCGTTTTAGATTGCCAAATCACAGCATGAGCTTTCTGCAGGTCAAAAATACATTACTGTGTTTTAAATGAAACTAAAGTCTGGGGATGAGCTTAAATTAGCATTCATTAGCATCCTCTTACCGAGCCAGGTATTCCTGCTGCTGCTCCACAGTATAAGGTTTGCATGTATATGTATGGAAATTCACCTATGAAGACGAGACGTGCATGCATAAGCGCACAGCGATAAGCAAACATACATCCGCATACTTGATTAATCCCCCAGCGGTGCGTAAGCCCTCGCCCGACAAAACAAGCTCTTCACTTAAACAGCTCGCATCATCCTTCAAAGAATTTGTCTTCGATGAATCCATCATTTTGCTTTAAAGTGCAGGAAAGGAATACAACCGAAAGCATGCTGTTTGTAGCTACACCGAGTTTTAACTCCTGGCTTTTATGTGAAAATGGAAGAGCTTACAGGAGTGAGTGACTCACATTACACTGTTCACTAAAAGCAGTTGTTCTGGTAACTGAGAGACACTCATATTTTCTCATACCCCTGGATACACAAGCTGAAGTGCACTTGGACATGTTTGCACACACACAGAGACACAGTACATCAAAAATCATTATGTTGGAGTAGAATTTCTCCTCTGTGTCAAAGCTGTGCAAGAACTCCCTGCAAGCACCACAGTATATCTGTTCCTCCGAGTATTGCATCTCTTCTTGTTGTTGAAGCTGACTGTCTAACGCAAGTTATTTGACAACTCGGGTGGAAAAAAGCGTGAAAGAGACAGTGGACTTTGCACTAACTATGATGCATGAGTCGGGTAACTGAAGATGCATTTAAGCCGACACCTAATACAGTGGCTCGGGAGTAAAGATGCGGCGCGCTATGGGAATGGACACTTTCTTGGTTTGTTTGCCTTTTTTAATGCTAAACTGCTAACACAGCGGCACAAAAACAGCCCAATAAATTGAATTCTCCACTTTAAATACAGAATGACACTTAGCTGCTTAATTCATCCAGGATTTACCTGCTCCGCTCCAGGCTCCCACCATCACTGACGTTCAATCCAAGGAATGTGTAATCGTGTAGTCACTATAAATCATTCATAAGTATCACTGGAGATCAGAGTGAATTCATCACAGGAGATGAGAGTGCATGCTTTAGTAGAGCATGATTTGATCTATAACTAAAATATCAAGCATGCAAAAGTGCTGAAGCTCAAACCGACATGGGTGACAGGATGATGCCATTCAGAGACTTGTTATGATGTAGACACTCGCCAACATCTGGTTACTCTTCTTTCTCTCTGTTTTTGTAGAAAGCCCGTTTGGCCAGGATACGAATATCCAAGACAGGAAGCTCCAATGCCTTCCTCCACAGCAAGCGTAATGGCCTGTTTAATGAAGCTCTAGAGCTCACGGTAAGCCTTTAAAGCACAGACACCTCGCTGTTGCATTGTGGTCTGACACGCTTGCATTTGTTGTGTTTTTAACTGACAAGACAAAAAGCCTGACCTCTGCGGTAAATAAGTCATGAGATACAAGCCTTCCTTGTCTGTTTTTTAATTACGCCAGCATCCCATCAGAGCAGCTATCTGTGGTCTCATGCTATAAGCGGCACTTCTAATGTGAGCATCTCTGAGCCCAGCTGCCCAGCTGAGGAACAAGCTTCGGGCGATGCAGCAGGAAAAGTAAACACAACTCAAGGATGTTCCTCACAAAAATGTTGCGGTTCATGAGCACCACAGTGGCCCGAGGCGGACACAGAACAAAAACAAGTGCTTCTTCCACCCGCTCGCTCACTTTCTGTGTCTCTGTTGCTTTGTCTCTCTTCAGTGGCAATGGTGGAAACCGGGATGGTACCAGCGGTGCACAAGCTGTAGCAGAAATAACTAATTTACATTCATGCCTGAATAGAAGATGCCTGACTGCGATGCTATCTGCAGTCATGTCACTGTTACACAGTGCTGTGAAGAAGGATTTGCACCCCCCCCTCCTGATTCCTTATTTTTTACATATTTGTCCCACTTGATTGTGTTTCAGATCATCAAATACATTTTAATATTAGACAAAGATAACACCAGTAAATATAAAAGTATTTGCCTCCTAAACCCAATAGCTGGTTGTTATTGTCTCTTTCTTAGTGTTGGATCGTGAACTCTGACCTTAACTGAGGCCAGTGAGGCTGCAGGTCTTTATGTGCTCTTATGGGTTCTTTGGGACCTCCTGGATGAACCATTAATGTGCTCTGGGAATAATTTTGGTAGACCTGGGAAAGTTCACCAGTGTTCCACATTTATGGATGATGGCTCTCATGGTGGTTCACTGACGTCCTAAAGCCTTAGAAATGGCTTTACAACCCGATGTCAGTGACTTTGTTTCTCATCTCTTCTTTAGTCAGTTGTATGAACTAAGGAAAAATCGTTTAGCCTACTTCACTTCCTCAGATAGATTTGTATTTTTAGTGGTTTCTGACAGTAATCAGGTGTCACAGATTATTAGGCAGAGGACTCACTCGCTCTGAGAGAGAAGGTGAGGGTTTATTTACAGTATGGCACCAAGTGAGAATATCTACATATATACAGTGAGACAGATAACACGGGGCTCCAGGGGGTGGAGGGGGGTCCGAGGCGGGGTACATACGCTCCTCTTCAACTCACTCTGAATGTCCAAAATGCTCACTCACACACATCCACAGAAATCCAGACGGCAGGGAATCTAGAAGGCCTGCACAGAGAAAAACAACATTAGGAGGAAACCTCACAAGGACTCGGCCACACTGACAGCGTAATGTGACGATGCAGCGAGGAAGCAGCCTCTCTTGCTCTTAAGTAGTCTGCCAGGATCAGAGCGAATGAGCCACAGGTGAGTGTTCAGGGCGGGTTCAGAGGCCCTGGTGGGAGAGGCGACGACAAAAACACACCACGACCTCTCCAGATGTTGAGAACCATGACATCAGGCCTGGCTGTGGCTAGTGAACTTGAAGTAAGCTTTCCAAAAATTGTGGTTAATCACAGTTCATTCATGATTTAACAAGAAGTGGCGATTGCTTTTTCACACAGGGCCAGGTAAATAAAAACATCCTTTAAAAACTGCATTTTGTATTTACTCGCGTTACCTTTCTCTAATAGCATCATTTGTTTGACGATCTGAAACATGGAAGTGTAATAAATATAAATAAGGAACCAGTAAGAGGGCAAATAGCTTTTAGCAGCGCTGGACATGAGTACATACTGAATACAGCTTTAACACTGATGGATAATCTGCTTCACTGAAGGTTTCCTTTTCTTAAACAGTGTTAACAGAAACCAGAGACGATATTTGTTTATGACTTGATTGTAACATCTCCCTGCCTCATTAGACTGTCGTGTCCAGTTTCAAAACTTACAAAAAAAAGAAAGAATAATGAGTTTAGAAGATTATTGTTTGGGGTGGTTTTCTTACCACCTTACTACTAAACCGTCAGAGGAAAAAACAAGTAATTGAAAAAAGTAATTGACTTGTCTGTTAAATAACACTGTGAGAAAACAGATAACTGAAGCTTTCATTAGGTTTTAAATGTTTCCCTGTATTGTCTCACATGCCAGAATGGATTTTGAAATGGCACCAATTAAAGTGCTAATAGACTGCTGATGCCTAAAGTCAGCAAAGCTAAAGATCTGTGCCAGCTCAATAATTTTAATTGCTGTCAAACATGGGTTGAATTGTACTGAGGCTATTTACCAACAGTACGTACAGTACCATGCCGAGCCAAACATTGTGTTTTGTCACCCAGCGGGTCAAGCTGTTTCCACTCTACAGTATGGTGGCCACCTGGGTGGCGAGCCGCCTCCAGACAGACTGCTGATATGGGCTTTGAGTCGCATGAAGGGCAGAAATAGCTCGACCTAAACACCTGTGTTTTACTGCTGGTACAGATAAGCAGCGCGAGCACAGGTGCGTCATCAGCGCAAGAAAGTACCCTCTCAGCACAGAAACCTCTTTACACCGCCGGCCGCTACAAATCTTCCAAACACGGCGTTTTACTTGCCTCTCGGCGGTGCTGTGGAGCATGCGGGATCAGGGCAATACTTTTGTGGGGCTTTGTTTTTTATAAACAGCTGAATTACAGATTCTGCCTGGAAGAAACCTGATGCAACGTATTGAAAGTCTGCATGCGAAACACGCCGTAATTCTGACAAGTACAACCAGAGCATTCGGCAACATACTGAAGAGAACGTCTTCCCAGGCGCAAGCTGAGGCTATTATGCAGAATAGTTTTGCCAATAAAATAAATAAATCTGTGTTTCCTCGGTAGTGGCTCTTCATACAGCATGGATAGCTGAATTCAAAATCCTTATATATACAGAAAAACTCCAAATGCTACCTTAGAAAAAGAAAACAGAACATTTGAACATTTATTCTCACTGTAACTAAACACATAAGCAAATGAACGGCTAAGCTTATCTGCGAGTTTCCCCGAGACTCGAAAGACCGCTCAGTCTCTGACTCACCTCCAAACTGCAGCACTGGAAATAGCACCTACTCACAGACAAGTAAACACAGAAATCAGGGAAAAACAAGTCATTATGAGTCGCCTGTTGCAAGGCTTCGTAACAGCACCAAAGGAGGGGAAATGTCACAATGGAAATGTTTATATCAGTTGTATTTACTGTATATCTATTAGCATCGAGTTGTGCTAGCAGTCTCCATTCCAGCACAGATCAATGCGCTCAGCTGATGTTAAAGAAATGCTCTGGGTCTGAATAGTGATGCTCCTCTGATTGGCATGATCCCTGACAGCAGCCTGAGCACTGAACTGTAAACACTAGTAAACTCTGTGTCTTCTCCCTTTGTCTTCTTCTCAAGCAACTTCCATACAAGATGAACCTTTCGGATCAGGTACTGAGGCAGCCGTTGGTCGTACACCTCCCACAGCTGATTATTGTCTCTCTGCGAGGAAGCATAGCATTTATTTGTGTGTGTTTCAGGGCTCCACTGAGGATGAGAAACGCTTAAGCAAGTCTACCTCTCTCTTAGAGAGCCAGCATCACCACCTGCTGCACTGCTTGGAGAAAACCACCGTGAGTGTTCTCGCTCTTTCTCATATCTTAGTTCCTGTAACCTTTCACAGAGCTGACTCTCTGTCTGTATACAACTCAAAATTGTGCCGTCATCTATAGATTTTCTTCTGGGGCTCATTCGGTGAAACAAACTGACAGCTTGGCGTAATGTGTATTTTTATGTCCAAATACTGCTAACCAAAGCATCCAGTACTTTGTGTTTCACTTCTGATGCACCCTCGACATGCCTGTATGTCCGTATAGATGCGCTCTGTTTCACAAGCATGACTCACACACCAGCTGTCACTATTTAAAGGCATTTGTCTGCACTCACTTAAGTCCAGTGTAGATGTTCACCTGTGTTTGGTCTGTATGTTCACAGCCTCCGAGTGACCCCTCTCATGTGAAAGTAGTAAACATTGTTCATATATAGTGTGATGATGGAAATGATTCAGCCTGTGAGGCTGCTGCTCTGACCCTAACCCCTAACCCTAACCCTTACTGCTGCTCTGACCCTAACCCCTAACCCTTACTGCTGCTCTGACCCTAACCCTTACTGCTGCTCTGACCCTAACCCTTACTGCTGCTCTGACCCTAACCCCTAACCCTTACTGCTGCTCTGACCCTAACCCTAACCCTTACTGCTGCTCTGACCCTAACCCTAACCCTAACCCTTACTGCTGCTCTGACCCTAACCGAAGCCTAAACTTAATGATTTATGTTACAGGGATCTGTTTTTATGGTTATGTGTGGTCATATCAGAGTTATGTCCCCATGACATGAGTAATACTTGGCACACACACAGCATGGACACTCACATAAAAAATAATCACACTTTCTGAGAAGAGTTATTGATCTAGGCGACGAAGCAGGAAATGTCAGGATATATGAAGCCATGTACATAAACATAAATGCTGTAAATTTCACATGACACCCTGTCTCGCCGGCTCCCTCCCCGTCTAGAACCACGAGTTTGTGGACGAGCAGTATTACCAGCAGAGCTACCTGGAAGGCGGGCTGCAGAATTACCCGTCCCGAAGCCCCTCCCTTTCCAGTCAAGACGGCGTGACGGGGACGTGCTGCACCCGGCGAACCAAGAAGCACCACACCCCTTTACCGAACGCCAGCGCCCCAGCACACATGCAGCCTTTGACACACACTCACACGCACCCACAAGGCTTGCAGGAGCTCAGCACCATCCACATCCAGCCTCTCAGCACCAGGTGAGATCAGCACAAAGGCAACGCAGGTCCATCTCACACACTCGACAGCTCGAGGGAAACTCTTCAGATGTCTTTTGAGATGTGCTCATTTCCCCGGCTAAGAGAGCAGTTTGAGTGTTTTGTCCTAATTGGAGTATTTGCTGTTACACAGAAAACAAAGAGTATTATACGTGTCCTCTCCTGTGCTCTGACAAGCTGTTGTATAGACACACAAGGCTGGGAGTTGATTTTCAGTGGGTTTCAGCACTGCTGGTGTTTGTGTGGTCAAAGTGGTTATATTGCCTTTGTTGGGCTGTTCTGTGTGCAGCCTTTTGTTTTGTTTTTTATGATGTTTTTAACTATTTTAATTAGTTTAACTTTTTGTCCTTCTGTCTCGTTATAGTTTGGCTTTAGTTTGAGGATTTTTCTTTTTACTTTGGGGAATTATAACCAAATAACACCATTTAGTGATTCCATTTTCATAGATTGTGAAGGTTTTGTTAACTTTGAAAGGCTCTAAGCTATCACCCCACTGAAAGTTGCCATCGCAGAGGAGAGAGGAGGATTTCTCACTCTGTCCTCGGCACTAATCTTCACAAAAAGGAATATTTCTCTGTGGATTGTCCTAATCCTTGCTTGTCTTTCTTAAATTTTCCTCCAGCCGCTCCAGTCTGAACATGCGCGTAGATGAGCCAGCCCCTCTGAACTGCCAGAGCAGCCAGATCACCACAGCAATCATCAGCATTCCCACGCCCCCAGTGACGACTCCGGAGGGCGATGCTCATCTGCCGGCAGGCCCCACCCACCAAAATGTTGTGAAGGTGTCCGCACTGTGAAGACTAGAGTGCAGGCGCGTCACACAGAAAGACAGATTTAAAAGGAAAAAACTCACGGAGACAGACGGAGGGACGGAGGAGGACCGAGAACGACGGAGGAGAGAAAGCGCTCAGTCCTGGTCTGGCCTTGGCTGAGCCTGCCCTCTGCTGGTCATGTACTGTAACGACATGGACTCCCCGTGTGGACGGAGGATGGCTTTTAGATACAGTGTCGTCATGTTAGTGGTTGGCGTTCGTGCGTGTGCGAGTGAGAAACACCTGTAGGGAGTCGTTTTAGATGAGCGGGTGAGTGAGTGAGTGTCACTGTGCACAAAGCACCTTTCTTATGATTTACTGTTTGACTTTTTTAGCTGGAGATGTGAGGAAACCTCAAAGGGAAAATAACAATAATAAGACGTAATCCACCGCCTCATCGCCCCCTTTGTTTTCTGATCTCTCCATAGATAAATATGAATCCTTTTCAGCTCCAATATTATTCCAATTTGAGTAAAAATTCCAAAAACATTCTGATGGTTTTCATATTTTCATATTTGTGAATGGGTGCGTGTGAATTTATTTTTTATTTTGGGGGCCAGATAGAGGAATTGTGATCTTTTGGATAGAAGGTGTGTGAGCGTGTTTGTTCCTCAGCTGATTGAACACTTGTTTCAGTTCTTCTGAACGTCTCTGTGGCTCCGTGTGTGGTATATTTGACTAGCTGCCACTCTGAAGGTTCAGCACACACATTTCTGTCCAAAGTTCTCAGCTACAAGGCTTTTACACGACATGTGCCTGTTCTGCTGGAGTTTAAAGATTCGTTTTTTTCTAGCTCTCTGAATTTCTCCACATTCCCGTTCATTCCCACTTTTCGGCTCTTCCAGCCTGACGGACCTCAAATATCTCGATTCCCTGATGTAGAAACCAAAAAGTCTATTTTTAATTCAAAACCATCACAACTAAAAGCACAAGGCGTTTGCTGAGAATTTCCGACACAAATCTGTCCTGAGCCTGGGATCTTTGTGAATATTGTTAATAGAATATTTTGTAATATTTGACCATTGTTTGGCAGAACCAGTGAAGCTGTCCTCTCGTTCTCTGTCTTTCTCTCTCCACATCTCTCTCTCGTTGTTGTCCCGTTGTATCCCTCCTCCTGTGTGAACAACAGTATGCTTTCAGTAGTCTTTCTAGCCGTCGACGTTTTTCTCCCCCAAACTCAGCGGGCATTTTTTTTGAAGTTGTTGAGTATATGTACTCTGTGTGGTTAGGAAACTTGGTGTTTGTACCTTTTGTCCTCCTTGGTGTTTCAGATGATTTATTTACTTTATCTTCTGGAAAAATTAAAGCAGGGAAGTTGTAACGGTGACGGCAGAGACACGAGGACACTGGATGAGCATCTACAGACGTCTGTCACCAAAAAAAAAAGTGTTGTTCTGTCTGTTGAATCCGATATGTATTATTTCTCATCCCATCAAAGTTGACCTTTTTACAAATCTTGAATGTCATGTTTGGGTTCAGAGACCCCAAAGTCTTCATGTGGATTTTCACCAAGAGGAACGAGCAGACCAACCACCCGCTTTGCTCCGTGTAGATAAAACAAAATGGTGATAAAGAGCACAAGGAGCGAGCCAGCGCTTCACCAGTGTAAGCCACGATCTTATTTCAAAGGCAGTATTTGAAATCGTCTGCAGCCTCATTTACAGAACCTTGGGGATGCCGTATACAGTATAAATTACTCAAAAGGCAGTGATTTCCAAAGAATTTAAATTGTATTTTTAACTGAAACTAGTACAAAGACAACACTTTTATGACCATTTTAATTTGATGCCCACACATTTCATTAAAGAGGACCGCTGTGCTGCATACACTCTCTCTTTCTCCAAAATTGTAAATGCATATGAGAAATATTCATTTATGAGGTTTTTCCATCCTTTTCTTTGTTCGTGATGTGAGCGTCTCGTTTGAGCCTCCTTTGTACTTCCTTCCATAAGAGTGAAAGATCCAGGCGAGTCGTTTTAGTACCTGCCAGACCGCTGATGAAGTTCAAACCGAGCACCAGACTGGGGAAGAAATTTAAGTGATTTTGAATGTGCCATGGGTGACAGGCAGGATGGTCGGAGTATTTCAGAAACTGCTGATTTTTCCACACATCCCAGAAAAAAAAGAGAAAATATGATGACTCAGATAACCTTCTGTCAGCTAAAACAGGAAACGCAGGCTTTGAAACACCAGAACTGGAGTTCAGGCTGGTGGTGGTGGTGTAGTGGTAGTGGTGGTGGTGTATGCAGAATATTTTCTCGGCACCTTGTGTTCGAACAGCACCGCCTGCCTGAGTGTTGTTGCTGACCGTGTCCATCTTCTGATAGCTGCCTTTAGCCACATCACAAAGCTCGAACTGTCTCAGCTGGTTCCTCGAACATGACCGTGAGTTCACTCAAATGATCTCCACAGTCATCAAATCTCAATCCAGGAAAATCCTTTGAGCTGCCGACAGATCTGCAGCAACTGCCAGATGCATGACGTGGACCAAACTGTGTGCAGCTACTAGAGGTGATTTTAAGCCCATCAAGTTGTAGTTGTTGTTTTTAAAGTGACCATTTTATATGTTTTTACGGTCCTCGTTAAAAGAGCTCACTAGCTTTTTATGACTCTTTTAAATGTTTTTGTAACATCAATCATGAAATCGTCAAAAGATTTATTTTGTGATTCAGCGGTAGAACGGTGGCGTGGTGGTTCGCACTGTTACCTCACAGGAAGAGGGTCCTGGGTTCAATTCCACCATGAGGCCAGGGTTTCTCTGTGTGCATCCCTGTGTTTGTTCTCTCTGGGTACTCTAGCTTGACCCAAAAACGTGGGGTTAGTTTTATTGCAAACTCTAAATTGCACGTAGGCGCGAATGGTTGTCTGTGTTAACCTTGTGTCCAGGGTGTGCCCCGCCTCTCCCCTGAGACAGCTGGGAAAGGCTCCAGCAACCCTGAAGCAGGATGAGCAGGAATGGTGATGAAATCATCAAAATATTGTTTTTGTTATTTAGAAATATTCTTGTTGTCCTAACGTCCTTGGGCGTAGTGAACTCTGGCACATCTTCTGAAACACTCTTCGAACTCGTGACACATTCAAACTAATTAGTCGTGTTTTGTTGCCTGATCCCCAAATTCCTTCATTTCAAAACCTCTCGTGTTGCCTTTGTATTACTTTCAGTTAAATATAGATATTAAATGAAGAACAAGGAATTGCATTGTATTTGATAATTTGCACAGCATCCTGACGTTGGTGCAATAACGTGTTTGCTCACATGTAGCTGACGATGACTTTGCTGTAGACTGTTTAAAACTACTGCCACATAGCAGCAAATATTACAAACCTGTTAAAAATATCCAAGCATCTTAAGATGAAGACATCTGAAAGCTTAAGCAGTTTAACATTTGTACGAAGCCTTAGAAAACATATCATAAGCCATCAGGTGGAGATATAAACATACTGGTACAACACCAGTGCATCAGGTCCTGGTTCTGTGTCATGCTTCAGTTCTGATCTCGAGCATCAACCCCCATAAAGCTGAATCTCTTCTGCCACGTTGGAACAGGATGTGTTTTCTCTGATAGTCCTAGCAGTGACTTAGTGCTGTCGCTGGTAGTTTAGTACTGTACACAAGAACAACCGCATAGAGGCAGCATTAGTGTTTAGTTCAACTGTGCAGAATTTACATGAAAAACATAAAAGCACAGACGGAGCTTTTCTCAGTGTTCTGGTGGGTTAGAGACAGTGTCTTTATATTTACAGCAGAAAGTCTGACTTTGTTAAATCGAGGGTATGACAGGTATCGGCAGAAGCGAGGCTCCCTGCGTTTCTTTGATTTATTTACATTTGTTGGTTCATTTCCTGCTTCCTGTTTCAGAACAGGTTGTTTTGTGTCAGCTGCTCTTACCAAACGACACAGTTTGAAATATATGTAAACATATATTCTGCTCAACGTGTCAAAAGATTTCATTTTTCTTTTACAACTAAAACAGGTCTGTTGTTGTGTTCGTCTCTTTCTCTGTTATGTATTCTCCTTTGTCCTTTTTTCTGGGCTCGGTTTTCCTCTTTGCTTTGCCCTCCTATGCCACCTGTCGTTGTTCAGACTACTGCTGTGCGTAAATGTCAGGTGTTGGATATTATTTATGACCTTGTCTTGTGTCCCAACTGTGAAACGCCTGATAAAACATCTATATCTGCCACTAATACATAATCTCTGGGCTCCCTTCTTCACCCACCTTTAAATCAATGCTTTCAAGTGTGTACATGTTTACCACAGATTCGTCTCTTCCAATAGTGCAGTCCCTCTGAACCAAGTGTTCATGTCAAAATATTAAACCTTAAGTCTCGCAGTTGTGGGGGGGAACATCCTGGGAACAGGAAGCTCGTGTTCCTAGGTAACAGAGGAGGAGATGAGGGGATCTATCGGAGCCTGCACACGGGTCGGCACCATGACTGATGTTTCCAGCTGCAGCATGGTGTTGTTAGAAAACAAAGTGCAAAGAAATTAAATGTTGTGCTCAACTGTTTTCTTTTCTTTGGTAAAACTGAAGCAGTCGCTCTTTTTTCTCGATAAATCGACTACCTGATATAAGGTCAATTAGGTAACCTGTGATAAGCTCATCATTGGGACTGCTGCTTTCTGATTGGCTGTGGTTAAGCTGTGCTCGCTGTGTTTGAACTATATGGAAAGGTCTTCTAATATTTACAGTGCATCTGAAGGTGAAATCATCTAAGCTTTACATAGTAACCTATTTAATCTGGGAGTCCAGTTTTACTTTATTTATGCATCACCAAATCACAACAACAGTCACGTTAATCCTCTCAACAGGAGGGCAGTTTAATAAGGGCCTACGTCAGGAACTGGGACTGAAGCTGAACTCAGCTCAATATTAATTTGATCCCTTCATAAGCTCATTCGCACAACCCCCCCACACCAGTCCCAGTTGATGACAGTTCCCAGTTCCCTATGAGCAGTATGGCAACTGTGGGAAGGAAAAAGTGCATTTTAACAGTAGAAACCTGCAGGAGAACCAGGCCCAGGAAAAGGCAGCAATCTGCTGCAACCGTGGGTGAGTGGAGAGAGACGAGGACTACATCCACACTCATGTGTTTTCTCTCCGTTTTGGCCTCGCGACCACACGGAGACGGCGTTTTCGCTCAAGGAAAACGCAGCGTTTTGAAAACGCTTTTGAAAACGCCCACATTTGAAAACGGTGCTTTCGCGTCAGCAAAAATTGAGACTTTTTCAAAACGATGACACATTTCAGTCATGTGATGCAGTCAAGTGAAACTAAGATGGCGGAGGGCGTTACACAGCAGTGGTTTTGTTTTGACAGCCCTGTCAGTCGGTACGTGCTTCAGAGAGCTTTTCTTCATAATCTTTCACTCGCTTTTGCACCTTTTACTACTTTTGTGTTACAACAACTCCACCTCATTATTAGTCCGTTTAAAAAACCCGGTGCTTTTCCTCGACCTTTTGCGTTTCAACGAGCCAGGAAGTAAATGAACGGCAGATATAAATGAGGCAGGTCGAATCGTATTGCGCTTCACGCATGCGTAGTACTGGAACGTTTTTGGCTCTTTCAATGTGGATGCACAACTCTGTGAAAACAGCTGAAACGATGGTGTGGACGCGGAGCGCATTCAGACGAAAACGCTGTTTTCAAACCTATCCGGGCTAGCGTGGACGTAGCCGAGAGCAGAGGGCGACTGGACAAGACTCACTGTGCCAGAGTTTAATAATTAAATACTCATAAAAATTATATTTTCAAGCTACTATTTCAATTCAATTCAATTCAATTCAATTTTATTTATATAGCGCCAAATCACAACAAATGTCGCCTCAAGGCGCTTCACTGTGGTATTTCACACCAAAAAGCCAAGAAGGCAAGTGAGAAGGCAAAGCTATGCCAGATTACACAAGAACCACACACACAGTGAACACCATCAGTCATGGATGGCCTCCCCACAGCCTCAACATCACTGACCTGGTGTGGGATTAACAGAGAGCAGAGAGAGGGACAGCCAGCAACCAAAGAAGAGTTTCAAATGTCCTTCAAGAAGCCTGGAGAACTTTTCCTGAAGAGTCCTCGTTGCTTAAGAGAGTTCATTCTGTGCTGGAAAATAAAGGTGGTCACAGCAAATATTAACTCTCCAGTCTCACATGCTGCATTTATATTTCTATCCACCACTGCACATATTTCCAGGTTTTCTAGCAGGATGTAAAGAAATGAGGGATCAAGACTATAAGTCATACAAACCAGGCACCATGGCAACAGCAATCACAGCCAGCACTGGTGCCTACAAACAAAACGTAACTTCATGAGGACCCGTTTAAACAGAATAAAGCAGCTGCACACTCACTCACTGCGACAGCGTTTGGGAGAGTAAGTCACCCTCCAATATGAAGAACACACATCGATTAAGATGATTACAGTTAAATGCAGGTGATTGGGGCCTGGGTGGGTCTAACGTGCTTTTACTCCAGGGACTAAAGATAATCTTTGAAATGGTTTTTAATGTAGTCAAGAACTGCCAGGTAATCCTCTTCAAATCCATTTTAGAGCAGCGAGTCTGAGAGGGCAGAGCGTCAGGAGAGGAGGCATGAGGCCAACACAGTACTGCACAACATTTATTTATCACAACGTGACTGGGAAAAAACAAAATGTGTAATTTATTAGAAAAGTATTTATGACACCAACATGTTGTGGGGAAAAAAATAGTGCAACGTATACTCGCCAAAGTGCAAATATGAATCAAGTGGCATAGTAAAGACACAGAAAAGCCTGTTCACAGCATCCACAGCTCATTTTTTCATCAGCTCTTCCATGTAGACGGCGTTCATACGATAAGCTGCCATCCAGCTGGAGGCTACATTATAGTAGCTCTGGTAGCCTTGCTCTTGAAAAGGGGACATGGAGGCGTAGTACTCGTTCCAGGCGCTGCAGCAGGCTCTCCAGTAGGTTTCAGCACACCACTCGTCCTCTTCTTCAGAGAAACCTTCGTTCTTTTCCCTCTTCTGGTCCCTTTTCATCTTTCCTTTCTGTTTTTCAGTCTCTTTTTTCATCTTTTTTGATTCTTCTCGGCGTGCCGGGGCCGGAGCTGTCTGATTGGTTCGCCTGCTTGATTTAATGCTCAATGCAGATTCCCGGCTGTCGGGAGGAGCTCTCCCACGTGTTGCACACAGTGTCTGGTCAGAGTGTCTGAGTGGAGCAGGAGTATAAGCCCTGGGTTTGGTGGGGCTTGCTTGTTGTGTGGGTGGAGAAGGTGGATGTGTCATTGCAATCTGAGGCGTAGTGACAGCTCTGTTCTCAGCTCCCGTGGTCTCGTTTGAACTTTCCAGTGTCGCATCATCTTCCATGTCAGATTGAGAACTGGAAGAACCCGAGGTGGACCTCGGAGGTGAAAGGTTAGATTTAAGCTGTTCGACGTTTCGTGTAAATATTTGCGCTCCATCATCATCAAGTGTAAGATACTCCTTATACCCATCCTCTCTGCCTCTGAACTCTCTGATGATCTCCACCGATCTCCCCGGACCTGTAGTGATGAAGTCCTGGAAGTCCCGCTCGGCCTCCTCAAAGGTCACGAACTTTGACCTGCAGTTCTTAAACGAGCTGAGAGGAGGGATCTTCGGCAGACTGTCTTGGAGCTCTTTTCGAGTCTGTGTCTGAGCAGGCAGAGTGTCCTCTGTGGAAGACATCTTTCTAGCATCCTCTTCACAGACCGCCTCTCGCCTGGGCGTTGGATGCTTCTTCTCTGGCGTTCTTTGACTGCCGGGCGCCGCAGCTCGATCCTCAAAGCGATCAGACACAGAGACGTCAGGCTTTGCACGTCTTTTCTTCTCTGCTCTGGGAAACAGCCGGGATACCGGGTCTGGAGTGGACGCTTCAGTGCAGACATCCCAGTCGCACGGCTCATCCATCAACCTGGGCTCTATCGTGGCTAAAATGACAGCAGACAGATGAGAGCGGAATGACTTTTACCGATTAATATCGAATCAAAAGTAGACATGAAGAGAAAAGTGGTGCGTGCTGCATGTAAAAGCCCCACAGAGACGTGAACAGGGACTCACATGGCAGCGCAGACAAACTAAGGCCACACTTCTGAGCGATGGCCATCATCTTGTTCTCCTCCTCGCCATGGCAACAGTAGGTCACAGCCAGTCCCTGAGTGCCTACAAGCAAAATGTAATCTGGATGAGGACCCACTTAAATAACAGGAAGGGATAAAGATGAATGCAAGAGTCGCGTATAATGGGATGCACACAAACACACGTGCACTTAGAGAGAGCGTACAGACGCTAAGATTGAATAACCTCAATTCTGGAAAAAGTTAAATGCAATTAAATGCAAATGGCTGGGAACGTTCTGCCTTTGGTGGTTGGGTCAAAAATGCTATTAAAAAGAATTTGCTAAATTATTTATAATGGAGTTTGGAAAAACATCAGTCTAGGTCAAAGACGTGCCAAGAGAAGAAAAAGCTATCGCAACATTTTTATTTCAGGACAATGTTGACAATGTGCCGGTGAATGGCCACTCAAAGGGAAAGCAGCATAACTAACCTTTTCATCAGTTTGTAAACTCTAAGTAATATTCTAGTCTGGGTTTCGCATCAAGCTAATTGCACATCTAAAGAATCGTGTTTCTTCCAAAATGTGAGATGGAGGGAAAATCAATTCTACAAAAAAATGATGCAATTTCTCTTCAAACTTATTTTGCTGCTGCAGTGCCGTTAGCCACCTGTGCTGCCTGACGTGATGTGACAAGGTGAAAATGCTGAATGTCAAACGATGCTAAAGCAGCGCTGCACACTAACCAAAACGTCCAGCTCGTCCAATTCTGTGCATGTAGGTTTCCCAATCCTGCGGCACATCCAGGTTTATCACCAAGTTGACCTTCTCTGCATCGATACCTCTTGAAGTCTGAAATAGTGAAACACAAAGAGTACTCATAACGTTATTAGGCTAACAGAAGAATGATTTTAAAAATTCACGTAGACATGTGGAAAGGTTTTCTCACCAGGTCAGTGGAGATGAGCACCCTGCACTGGTACTGCTTCAGTTTTGACATCGCCTCCAGTCTCTGGTCCTGACTCAGACCACCTGCAGAGGCCAGACACGGCACCTCATTAAATCTGATAACGTCAACTGAAAGTCGCAGGCATGGAAGCATTAAAAATACACACATTCACAACACTGTATGAAGGTCATTTTAAATATGTGCACTGAAACGTTGCCAGGCAACACTGCCAACCATAAACCACCTGCCAAAGTCACACATACAAGATAGTCAAGAAACGAATGAATGAATGTCTAATTTTTTATTGACTCATCCTAACATTACATAAAGCAGTCTTACCAGAGATGCAAACAGCAGGCAGACCTTTGGAGGACAGGATGTCTGCCAGGTGCTGAGCCCTGTGGTAGCAACTCATCGCATTAGCATTTTAGAAAGCTTTTTTTAAATATAATTAATCCCCAGATCTAATTAAAGTATAAAAAATATACTTTTTCTTGGCATTAAATGCAATCAGCATCACATACCGTGTGTGTAGGTTTGAAAACACCAGCGCTTGGTTGAAGGGGATTTTACTAAACAGCTCTAGCAAGTGCTGCACCTTCTCCTCAAAAACCTTGTGAGGTAGCGGATGGGACTGGACCAGCTTGTAATACTGCTTCAGACCTGACAGGGGGCGACACAAGCACAACATACATGCTGTCATTAATTCAACCTGACCTAACAACTTTGGTCCTTCGAGCAGGACGTGCTCTGTCAGTGACGTGAATTAAAAGGCTTCTGAGCTACAGATAAATCCATTTTGTGACATTCACTCAAAACAAGCACAGAGCTTAAAATAGATCCTGTGGAAGAGAAGAGTGCCTTAACTCAGCCTTATTACTGTCAATCATATCACATCCCCCAAGAATGTTCTGTCAGGAAATGATCCCATCAAACATGTCAGTTTTCAGACTTGGTTATCCATGCAGTCTTATTATGTCTCTGTTGCTATGACAGCAATTTAAATACATTAAAAATGTGAAGAGAGGCCAAAACTCAGGAATCTTTATCTTTACCATCTATTAAAGTGGGTCTTACCTTTCAGGCCCATATCACTTGGATTTAGCCGTACAAAGGTGGGCTCTCTCATGTAGCGGGTGAGGTGCTGAGCAAGGGATTCTGGGTAGGTGGCGGAGAGTGCGAGCATCTGTTTGTTCACAGGCAGCGAGGAGAAGATCCAGCTAAAGGGGATGATGGGTGAACTTCAGGTTATGTTGGTTTGTAAATGTGGTTACGATACGATATAAACGGCTTCGGTCTAAATGTACTGCTTGAAAAACACTCTGCTCGCTACAGCGGCCGGCTGCTACAGCGGCCGGCTGCTAACAGGAGTATAATCACAGACGTTGTGTCCTCATACTTGATCTGTTCCTGGAAGCTGCCCTCCTCCAGCAGCTTGTCTGCCTCGTCCAGAACAAACAGTCTGATGCTGGCCGTTGACAACATGCCCAACTCGATAAGCTGCTTGATGCGACCTGAGCACACAACCGGAACACTGTTACCGAACAAAAACAACAGCGGCGTGGCGATTACGTGGCGTGGCGCTGCCGGCTACTATCCCGGGTTCCTACCAGGTGAGCCCACGGCTACATGACACTTCTTCAGGTGGGCTTTGTCCTGACTCACAGGCCTGCCGCCAATGAAAACATGGCACTCCAGGCCCTCCATGGCACAGCCTATGGCCATGACCACCGAGTGGATCTGCACTGCTATCTCACGTGTCGGCGCCAGCACAAGAACCTGCAGCAGGGAAAAGTGTCCGAAATGGAAAATACAAAAGGCTTATACTCGACTGGGAGAAGATTAAGGATGAACAGTAAGACCCCAGAGCTAATAAGATTACATTTGCTCTACAAGACCAGGTGTACCTCGTCTTTATCAATCATTCATGCATTTGACACTAAGCAGCTTAAATTCAGCAGAAGGCCATCTGCTGGTCATGAAATGATTAAATAATAAAACTTCCCCTTTCCCTCTTCTGATGATGTTTTACTTTAACCGTCCGAGAGCAAACGTAGGTCACATCCTCATAATCAAATATTACACTGACCTGGGTTGAAGGATTCTCCAGGACCAGAGAGTCCAGGGCGATGGTGCAGAACACGCATGTCTTCCCTGTCCCAGACTTGGCCTGCACAATCAAATCTAGAAGAAGAGACTCGGTGAGCAATGCACAACAGGGCTGGCAAATGACAGCTTTGGCATCAGCAGTTAATTACCATGACTGGGTGAAGTACTGCTGCCTAATCCTCAGCATCAAATCAATTGTCTCCTACCGTGGTTTAAATTAACAAGTGTTTACCTCAAGTACAATGAAATTAAGCACATTCTGCATCAGCGCTGCAGCCGAGAGCTTTTTCAACACACGGGCAACCTGGAAAGCAACTATTCTGAATTTGTACCTCGTAAAATAAAATGTTTAAAAGCAATAAACGCTTTTGATCCCCAAGAGTGATTTAGCATCATGATGAACAGTTGTGGCATCTATGATAGTCAAAAGAAGGACTGAAGTACTTAAACTGTTTTCTCTGCAAATGATTTAAACTTTTCAACTAATGTAGTTGTTTCGAGCTTTTCAAAATAAAATACTTTTAAATATCCTTTAAAACTAAAAGATTTGTTCTCATTTGGCCATGGCTTTGAGGCAAGTTCACAACAAAGTCAGTGTACAGTCTGAGTGTAGTACAGCTACAGTAGATGGAAACTTGATCTTTCTAACAATAAATTTCTGTGATTATTGAACAAAACAAAAGCAATATTAATAAAAATAGTTAGTAATAATGTTTTGCCACTATTTCCAATACCATGAAAGCTATGAGGATTAAAAAGGAGCTCCGATGAGCATTTTTAACCCAATCTAAGCTGCTCTACTGTTTCGTAATTCAACTAGATTTGGACTCATCAGATATCATAAATGAATCCTTTATTATTCCCTAAAGAATTATGTGGTTACAGTTGCTCCAAGACAATAACAACGGTAACAGACCGAACTAAAAGTTCACAAAATAGAAGAAACTCTCTAATATGTAGCTCAGTTATAAATATCCAGAATATTACACACATGAAATACATATTATTGAAATAGATAAAAGCTGAAAACATGTAATTTGATATTGTATGAAGAATTTTTAACTACATTAAAATGTAATACATGATTGAATTATTCAGAGTAAAAATAATATTTGGCCATATTAAGCCCTTTTCTAAACTAATAATATAGAAGACCTCTGCAGTTAGGTCGATAAATATTCGGACAGTTACAGGATGTACCTTGAACTGTAAAGGGGAATTCAGATTCCTCCAAGTGCTGCAAAACTGATGGAGCACTGCATCACAATGCAAACGGAAAATGACTCCGAGCATACAGCAGAAGCAACCTGAGAGTTTCAGAGGAAAAGAAAGTGGAAATAGTTCCTAAACCAACTGTTTAGGGTCTGGGGTCTCACTGCTCATCCTTTTGTCAAACATCTGAATTAAAGCTGAACGTTTTCCCTTCAAATACATTTTGACAATTTGATTTAAAATTCACAAAAAGCATCAGTGTCCAAATACTAACAGACCTAACTAACACACCCAGCTATTGTACCAACAGGTTTTTAGATCAGATACACGATGGTTTGTCTCTACTGCCACGATATCAAATTAATAACCTTTTTACATTATGTTCTTTTAATAAGTCCAAACCTCAGTTTTGCACTAGTGGCCAAAGAGTCAGGGAAGTATTTTTATTAATTTACCTCAGGGACAGTTATGAGTTGTCCTACATGAAGGAAAGCTAAAGTCTTTCTGAGGAACACCTTGTACAGAGATGCTGCTGGTAGCTCGTGGGAGGAAGTCAAATTAGATAAACTACCTTTTATCTTTTAGCTCTCATGTGCTTCTATGTCCAGATAATATTACCTCCCGACAAAGGTGTTCATGTGTCTGGATAAAACAGAAATTGGCCGGCAGATTGGTGCTGTATCGAAGTAATGTGCCGACTTTACTGGACCAGTGAGATGAAGAGTTGGCTGAGCCCAGAAGCAAAGATTTGGATTTACCCGTCAAGCTGAAGCAAGTCTGGTTCAGCGTTTCACCCAAAGACACTTCACATGTAGCCCAGAGGAGCTGGGAACCGCCAACCTCCCAGTTAGCAGATGCTCCACCTGATTAGCCACAGCCAAGTTTTATGTCCTAGATTAATAATCTGCATAAATTTGCCCATAAGAGTGTTTTTTGATTGCAGTAATAATAATGATAACAATAACTTTTCATTTCATATTTATGAGCAGATGCATTGGATAAGCGGACGATAATGAATGGATAGATGGATTTATGAGGCATCACATTAATCATGTGCGTCTAAATATTTACGACCAATATGCTTTGCAACAAAAAATTAAAATGAAAATACTTTAAAAAGTTGTAAAAAAAATAAATAATAATAATAATAATTTTAACTATAGCGCCAGTCATGTATCTGAGCAGACATGCAAATGATAACTGATGGTTAACAGACAGATTCTGATCGCTGATGTATGTAAATGCACTAATGTAAGTGGTTTGATTTCACGTGCATACATCAGGTATTTGTTGCTCTTTTTATAAAATCAATTATAAGTTTTATACACTGAAAACTTTAATATTCCTGCCCCCAGCACACACACATGTGGACCCACCGAGTCCGCAGCGGCCGAGCGGGATCGCCTTGAGCTGGATCGGAGACGGCTTCTGAAATCCCGCGGCGGACAGTCCGTCCAACACGGGCTGAGAAAGCAGCAAGGAGCCGAAGTCGATGCCCTCCGACAGAATCACGTCTTCGGTCCGTTTTCGCGCTTCGATATCGTGAGCTGCTTTCCTCACGGAGGTAGCCATGTTTGCTGTGCTGTTTACTGCCGGTGACCCGGGTATAAGCAGAGCCACCGCTGCGCTTTAGCCCCCTCTAGCGATGCGGAGGGGAATTAATTTCTCTGCACAATCATCTGGGTGTGATTGGTCGATTACACACTTTTTGGATATAAATCTTATATGGTTGGAAACCCTGTTTATTCCCCCCTTAGCGGTGCTAAATTTTTAAGGAAAATGCATTTGTGGGCTGAGCAGCAGAGTTGACTATGTGGGCTGTGCCCACTTGCAAAATCTTCTCTCCCAATGCCAAAGAAAGTATTCTGCTATTGAATCTTGTTTGGTGCAGTTTATGGGATTGAATTTTTGAAGTCTGAAGAGGCATATTAGCAATTTAATGGTTTATTCATTTGGTAGCATGTGGAAGAACCATCTGAGAACTATACCTCCTCCTCATGCTGGTCACCAGCTTGGTCACGTACTGCTGTGGGATGGTATCCCATTCTTTAAGCTGCATTTGTTGCAAGTCAGCCAATGTGTCAGTGTTGGTGACTCTGGCACGAACAGCACACCCAAGCTGACACCAGAAGTGTTCAATGGGGTTGATGTCAGGACTGCAGCACACTATCATGCCCACTCTTGAATTCTGAAGATAGTCTCTGATAAACCTCATCCTGTGAGGCCGAGCATCATCTTCTTGGAGGACAGAGTTCGGTCTCAGACAATGGAAATAATGAATTGGCATTGGTTGGAGAATTACATGTTGAGATCTCTTTGCATTAACAGTACAGGAGTATTCATTTATGGCAAAAGGTCAATAACCCAAAAGTTCTTATTGGTGGCCTTTAACAGATCAGTGCAGGAAACTGTCTTTGATGAGGTTACAGCCAATGTTAGTTAGTGTCTTAACTCTTAAAAAGGATGAATTATTCATTGAGGTTTCAGAGTTTTGTAGGTATTAAGGATGATTATAGGCAGAGACACTGACACTGAGCTCATTCTCAAATGAGCCACTCGTTGTGTCATTAAGTAACTCAATCAGGCTAACATCTCATTAGTTTTTAACAAGATAAAAAGGCAGGGATAGGTATCCATAAATTACCAGTTTATTCCATTATTGGCTACAAAATGTGTGACAAACCAGCGGGAATCCTGTAGACATATCGGTCGATCCTGCGTGAACATTCTGCATCATTACTCACGAGCAGCTGTAAATTGAGCAATCATGGAAAGTGCCGTCTTAGAGGCTATCAGACAGAATTATTCTCTCCACAATCCGGCTCGGCGGATTTTGTTTTCTGAGAATTGCAAATCATCTGCGGCCTCCTCTCCTCTTACGGGGCTTATTTAGAGGGCCTCGCTTCCCTCTCAGAATATCAAGCACGCAGTATCTGTTGAACAGTTTTGTAGTTGTTCTTATTGCTACATTATTTATCAAATGATTAAAAAAATACTAAACACATACCTGAACCTGCTCTTTCTTTGCCTTGCTGACAATGTGGCCATTTTAGAGTTAGATGTGTTGGATCTGACACTTTTTTGTTTGTTGTTTTTTACCAGGCATCACTGAGGTTTTTCACTGTGACCAGATTCTTCTCCTGATCTTCACAGAGCAAAATGGAGAGTGCTGCCGTCCACAGAAACTCTTCATCATCTACCAGCTCAGCCAACACGGAGCTCTTGTCCCGGACTGGTTACACAACTCTGGCCGTTATCATGGGTGTGTTCTCTGTGGCAGGGATCGTCCTCAATGTCGTGGTGATTGTGGTGACGGTGAAGCACAGACAGCTGAGGCAGCCACTCAGCTATGCCCTGGTTAACCTGGCTGTTTGTGACCTGGGCTGTGCTGTGTTTGGAGGCCTGCCCACCACAGTAACCAGCGCCATGGGATACTTCAACCTGGGACGTGTGGGCTGTGTGTTAGAAGCCTTTGCTGTTTCCTTTTTCGGTGAGTCTACTTTTTCCTCACATAAATAAAAGAAGAAATACCTTAATGTATTCTAGTACAAGTAAAAGTACCACAAGTAAAACCACCTGAAGGGAATTTTGTTATTTTATGTAAGATTTGCAAAACTGCATCTGAATAAACAATCACAAAAACACAAGACTTCTGGAACAGTGTCCTTTGGACAGATAAGACTATATTTGACATGTCTGCATATATATTGCACAGTGGTGAAAACCAAATACAGCACAGTGGTGAAGAGGTGATGATTTGTGTTTGTTTTGCAGCTGTGTACCATTGTTGAGACAAATGTCAGTCTGACAGCTAAAGCTTGGCCACAATGTGCCACAGATACATGATCCCAAGCACAGCAGCAAATCTACAACAGAATGGCTGAAAAAGAAACGAGTCAAGGTGCTGTAGTGACCTGGTCAAAGTCCAGACCTTGCTTAGTATTTCAAATGCACACAGTCTGTGGAAACTTTCATTTTCTCGTGACTGCTTTTGAACTTTTTGAGCTTAAAAAAGTTACTTAAAATGAATCATTTAAGATATTTTGAAGGGAAGCTTTTTTGTGTACTGTATTTCATGTATTTATGTAAAATCTAGTGTGGAAACTGAAATTTTAAATTATAGTTATTGTCATTGAATTAAGATTAGCATTTGTTCCTTGAAATGTAGCACTCAGGTATAGGACAGGTGTCTCAATAGTGCGCACAAAGTCATAACTTATTCTGTCTTTTCTTGCAGGTATAGCAAGTCTGTGCACAGTAGCAGTCATTTCTGTTGAACGCTACGTAGTGGTGTGTTATCCCATGGGGGCGGTCCTCTTCCAGACCAGGTACAGCAGTGACCAAGATCTCACTTGGGAATGTTCCTCGCTGTACCGAGCATGTCAGACACCATCTCTGTTGTCCTCAGGCATGCAGTTGCTGGAGTGGTACTGTCCTGGGTGTGGTCATTTGTGTGGAGCACTCCACCTCTGTTCGGGTGGGGAACCTTTGAGTTGGAGGGTGTCAGAACCTCCTGTGCTCCTAAATGGCACAGCCGTGATGTTGGGGACATGTCCTACATGATAATATTCTTCTTCCTTTGCTTCGCCTTGCCCTTTTCTGTCGTCATGGTTTCTTACTCGCGGCTTTTATGGACTCTCCGCCAGGTGAGCAACAAAGGCTGCGCACACCTTATATATTTGTTGATTGTACTGAAAACATAAAGGACTCCTCTGCGCTTGAATTTTTTTCCTAGGTGACCAAGCTGCAGGTACCTGAAACAAGTCATGTAGAGGTGCAGGTGGCACGCATGATAGTAGTGATGGTGCTGGCCTTCCTGGTCACCTGGCTGCCATATGCTGCGCTTGCACTTGCTGTCATGATGGACTCCAGTCTATATGTTGACCCTGTCATCGCTACCATTCCTGTGTACTTTGCAAAAAGCAGCACTGTCTACAACCCCATCATATACATTTTCATGAACAGACAGGTAAGCTGGTTTGAAGTAAATACAAACAAAGAAAAAGAGGAATTCAGGCTCATGCTGTATGTTCATGACCAACCATGATCGTGTGCTTCCAGTTTCGAGGCTACACTGTTGCTGCGGTTCTGTGTGGATGGGACCCCTGGTCCTCTGAGCCGCAAACATCTGAGAACAAGACCACGGTTCCGTTTGTCATCAAGACCCCCAAGAAAGTTGTGCCTAAAAATCTTTGGAATAGAAATGTGTAGAAATTATTATAGTCGCACTGTTCTGATTATCAGAACAAAGTCAAGACAACCTCTGCAATGTAGTGCAAGATGGTTTTCACAAATGTAAACAAAATATCAGAGAGTAAAAATGATGCAAGAAGGTTGCACAAATCTTATGTATTAAGGCATTAAAATAACAGTAATAAAATCAGCAGTAATAATAATAATAAAAAGATTTCCCTGTTCAGGCAGGCTTCTTTCCTGCTGTCATAACCTTTAATGTATTCAGACAACAGCACAACATCTTTCTTGTCCTCTGTCATTGATATTGTAGATGCTGTCATTGCTTTTTATCTCGTTTAAAGAATAAAAATACAGTTACATTAATCAAGAATAGAGATTAGAATAGAGATTGCACAACTCACAGTTTGTTTACAGACATAATTTAAAAGATAAAAAGATAAAACCTCACATATGTGAGCAGAATAGCCTCTGTTTACCTCAGTCTGTCGGTCAGGACCTGAATTATCTCTCCTGGCTGAAACACTGGCACACTTTTTGGGTACGCCTCTTTTGCTTTCAGATGTGGTTTGATTTTTTTGTGGCATAGATTCAACACATAGGAAACATTTCTCAGAGATTTTGGTCCATATTGACGTGATAATATCACACAGTTAATGCAGATTTGACAGCTGTACATCCATAATGCGAATTTCCCATTAGACCTCATCTTAAAGTTTCTGTTAGATTGAAACCGTCTACAGTCAACTTGTCATGATCAAGAAACCAGTTTGATATGATCTGAGCTTTGTGACATGGTGTGAGCAGTCATCAGAAGATAAATACACTCAGACCCCAAATGTGCCAAGAAAATATCCCCCACGCAGTTACACTGCCACTATGCACATCAGCTGTTGATACAAGGCAGGATGAATCAAGGTTTACATTGTTTCTGACCCTGACACCTGAATGCTGCAGACGAAATCGAGACACATCAAACCAGACAAAGTTTTTCCAGTCAATTTTGGTGAACATGTGCAAACTGTAGCACCTGGTGTCAATCTGCTTCAACGTTCAATGTGTTTTGTGCATTCAGAGACGCTCTTCAGCATGCCTTGGTATCCGAGTTACTGTTGCTTGTTCTTAGCTGCAGAACAATCAGTTATTTAGGTTACTGTTGCCAGTTTGAAGAGACCTGTCCATTCTCCTCCGACATCTGGAATAAACAAGGTATTTTCTCCCAGAGAACTGCTGCTCACTCTCTGTCGACCCTAGAGATGGTCATGTGCACAAATATCAGCAGCTGGTGAATTACTCTGACTAGCCCATCTGGTGCTTCATGCTACAATCAGAGCCACTTAAATCATTCTTCCCCCGTTCTCATGCTCGGTTTAGCTTCAACAGGTCGTCTTGATCATGTCTACATGAATAATTGCATTGAGCCGCCGCTATGTGATTGGCTGATTAGATAGCTGCATTAACTAACAGTTAAATAGGTGTAGCTAACAAAGTGGACCTTTATTTTCACAATGAAGAAATATACGCAAAAGCTAAACTAGAAATTTATGTTTTGCTGCAAACAGCTAAAACCCTGTGAAAGTAATAGTAAAGAACACTTGATAGTAACGTATATTCAAAAGATTTAAGACAAGAAAAAAGTAATTAGATGATTTTTAATATTTTATTAGGTATACACATCCTCTTTGCTTCTTAAGGTCTGTCCTTCTATATAACCTTTATGGCTTTCATTGATTGAAAAACATAAAATAAAATCAATCAAAATAATCAGTGTCTTGTACTCATTTTGCAACATGATACTTCATTTCAGCCTTTTAGATCCAGCATGTAAAACAGAAAACAACCTGTGATAAGTTATGTCACAGTCTGATCAGTCACAGTCTCTCACGCCTTCCTAAATAAACACAATGCAATCATACCCATCCTAGTACCATGGCTTTATTGATTACAGAAATATTGCTATGACTGAAGAAAAGCCCCCCCCCCAAAAAAAAGCCAGAGTGTTAATAGCTGTATCAAACCTGTACACTTTAGTATATACAGAGTGGGGGACCATCTATGTACATGCTACATACTGTCACACTCTGGGAAAATAAGTAGTCCTTCTGACAGTTACTGACATGTGATCATTTTCTGAATCAGTTCAATCAAAAGAAAGATGCAGAACTGACCGTGTCAGTGCCCGAGGTACAGGAGAACCCAAACTAAAACCACAGGCCATCTCACAGATACAGTACATGTTAACAGCAGGTTTGGGTGCGTGAAACTGTTGTGTGCTTGAACACCTGGTGCTTGGAGGACTTACTTTGGTCCTATTTTTCTTTTATGGCAGCCTGTAGTAATAACAGCATGAAACAACAGTGTCTGAGCGCTTCCTGTTAAATACTCAGCCAGTTAGACGGGCTACACGACAGTTTCTGCTGTATTACACACGTATTGGATAAGTCAGACTATCTAGTCCCAGTGCTGCCTGCACACACTTCTGTCTTCGTGTACGGTCTCCAGATGGTGTTTGGTGTAGAGATCACGCGATAAGGTCATAATGTCTCATGCAAAATTTAAAGGAGGTATTCCTTCTCCAGCAGCAGCTATTTCATATACCAATTAAAACCACTGGTGTTCAATACAGAAACATGCTTAGAGAGATGGCAAGAATAGACATGGGTAAGTTAGTCTCTTAACATCAACATCTGGGTCAAATAAACAGAGAACGAGTGACAGAAGTCGACAGGTTGATGCTGATCAATTGTACCTTGCATACAATTGAAGCCAGCTTTGCAAAGGGTTTCAGGCCACTTCTATCAGGGACATACAAGACCATCTGTACCTAACACAGCATCCACAAAACAACACAAGGAATAAGTCCTGAGCTCAAGGAATGTGCAACACGTCCCCAGCCAGTCACCTACTGTAAAGACTGAGAACAGCATCCTGGAATTATCTTTGCTTCCGACAAGTAACACATATGATCATATATACAACTTAAAAAAATACAGAGTTGGGATGGAAAAGTGGGGATGATCCACTCATGATCTAAAGAGGCAAAATTGGGTGCAAATACGAGGTGTGATCAAAATGTTCTGAGAGCCTGTGCATAAAAGTCAAATGTCCAGAATAAAATTTACCCATACAGGTCATCATGTGTGCAATCAGCCTCCATCGCAGCTTTGTGATCGCTGCACTGAAGTCTCGTTCTGACCACACAGTGTGCACTCTGAGATTGCACCATGGACTAAAAACTTCTGATAGAAAATATAAACTTCTGTTTCAAACTGACACGGATGTTGTGCGAAGGATCAACCCTGAAGATGAGACCCGGGTCTGCAGCTTTTAAAAGGAGTGTTGAAGGCAGCGTGTCAGAGGAGTGAGACTGGGAGTTTCCTACTGTAATGTTCTACTGTAACGTCCTGAGGAGCCTGATGGGGAGTCCATCTGAACTGCATACCAGTGTACCATCACGTCTTGGCTAACCAGCACAATCGCCGTGGATGAAGGGTCGCCGCTTTAAGGAGATCCATGGAATCATGGAGGCGCAGGTATGGGGCTAACAGAACTGGACCTCCAGTGAGACAGCTTCCTGTGCACCTCTGCACTGCGCTGGAAGCGGTCCAACGCGAGATTGGCCAGCTTTGGATTTTTATGGACATGTCCTCAGGACCTTTTGATCACATCTTGTAGAAGAGCTCAACATTAATACCTGCACACCAGACAACAAATCCAGACAACTTCTGAGTCAAGGCAAAGAGGAGGGAGGTGTCTAATAATGAGCAGGTTAGGATTTGTACACTTTTACCTCCCTTCAACGATAACTTCCTCGTGTATAGAAACAGGAGCATCTCGTAGTGCTCTTTACAGCATATAAGAACGTGACAAATATAACTTATGTCTACTACTGGTGTGTGGATTGCTGAGTGTTTTAACTGCAGTAACGATTTGTGCAACATATCTGTGGTGAATTGCTTAACTTTTTTTGTTGTTTTTTGGTTTATCTGTTTGGGTCTTCTTCATTTCAACATCACTGGTGTGTACTTAACGTCCTACTCTGCTTCAGTGACTGATGAGGTATCATAATGACAGCCACCCGGACCTCTAATGAACAATAAGGTGCAAAAATCTACCTCTGTAAACTCCAACGATCTACACACTTTCATGTGTCAGCATGTGAGCGTGTTTTTAAGAGAAAGACGGACAATGACAGAAAAGCAGAGACTGATTGCATTTAAGGGTTATGTAATAAAGGGCTGAGAGATCAGGCAAGGGTTCAGAGTTGAGGTGCAATATTTAGAGTTTGGATTCAGGCTGAGGTGTGGCATGAAAAAGCTTCTAGTTCTACAGCTCAGTCTCTTTATATACAGCAATAGTCTGAAAGAAACAACATGAAAGAGAAAGTCGGGCTTCCACCTTTCTCTTTCTTTTCTTTTCATTCAAGTCCGTTCGAGACGCCTTCGTCCTCAAACAGCAAGGTCTGTTTTAAAAGTCAGCTCACATCCTGAACACTGCCCCATACTGGGCAGCAGTAGTAGCAGCAGCAAGGAGACTCATATACTCTCCGACTTTTCTTCCAGCATCACACACATTTTTTTTCTCTTTTTTATGTTTGGGTTTGAGCCGAGTCTTTATTTTTAAGAATGAAATCTTCAGCCTTAGTTTTGTGTGGGTTTGTTGTCATTTTGCAGTGTGTGTGTGTCTGTGTGTGTCTTTTTTTTCCTGTCAGTATGTATTTATGTGGCAGGGTGCGTGTGTGTCACTCCTTCAGTGTGTAGGCGGCAGGGTCAGTGGATGACAAGCTCCACGTGTCCTCCTCATCATCGCCGGCACTAAAACAGCACACTCTGCCTCCTGCTCTTCCCTTGGGCTGAGAGAGAGAAGAAGACAGGAGAGAGAGAGTGAAAAACAAACAAACAAACATTTGGATGTGATTTGGACACTCAAACATTGTAAATTTCACTCCATGCCAGCGACGCACAATAAATTCAGTTGGGTCCAGAAACACTGGACACACTTTCATGAACAGCAATTTGTTTCAGTTTGATTAATCGCACAACTTAAACTTAACCAATCAATCAGTCTAGAAAACATCACAACACAGTGAATCTGTGCTACACCTTTCAACTAGTTGATCAACATTAATATTTTACTAGATTGCAAACCTACAAATCATCCAGTCATTTTCTCTGCGTTGACCACTCGACAGGTTTTCTAGGGGCTTGATGTGCATCCTGAACCTGAAAAGGTTCAGTGGTGTACGTGTGCTGGCAACGCCGGGCTCAATGTGACAAAACCATCTTCACTGAGCTTGCTTTGTGTACATAGTTGCTGCTAATGACACTTCTCTACTGGAAATTTGAAGAAATATAATAAATTAAAAAGAAACCGTTTGCGTAATGCTGCTTAAGCTAAATCAAACTCACCAAAAGTATAACCCACAGCACAGCAAAACACTCAAATCCATGCTAATTTAAAAAGACAAACCCACAACACAAAACCCTCACTTACAGACGCTACATCTCTCGCTGCAGAAATCTAAGCAGGACTGGAAAAAAACAAAGAAATCGAATGACCCCCCGTTCTCTTATGAACAAACCGTTGCCCCTTTGATTCCCTCACATGAATATTGGCTTGCTCTGAGAAAAAAGAGGATTAGTGAAGTGAAATCTGAAGAATGCTTGTGGGAACAGGAATGTGAAGAGGAACAAACAAAACACAGACATGAAGAAACAGCTAATAAATAATATGTTGTTTTAGTTGACAGGGTGCAGGGAGGGAAGCTAGATATAATTAAATTCAGGAATGGTCTTATATAAAGAGGTGTTTGCAGCAAAGGAACGGTGCTGACAGAGAAGAAGAAAAGGCCCGGTGCAGCCAAACAAAAAGAAAGAGAGAGAGATTACACATGAAAGAGACTGTATTTACCAGAACAGTAGGGCCACTCAGCCAGTGGAAGTAGAGGAGAGATTGTGACTCTGAGCCCTGGGATTGGCTGCCTCTCTCTGGAAGTACTGCGAGGGTGCGGAGCCTAGCTTATTGGCCATCGCTTTTTTGGGTTAGGGAGAAGGGGGGGAAGGTTGGGAATATTGAGGTGTTACGGAAGAGTTGGAGTAGGGTACACAAGGGAGATTAGAGAAAGGATTAAGGAAAAGATGAGCAGTGCAGAAGAAGAGCGCATGGGCACCAAAGAGAAGGGACAGTTTATCAGAACATGACAGCGAGGCAACAAAAGCAGAAAAACACAGATACACAGACTGAGACTGTGATAAGGACAAAACTGTGAAATCGAAGCAAATGTCGAAGGCACTTCAGGTGTGCAGAGTAAATGTAGAGAGACTCAGACAAAGGCAACTCTCCCAGCTGCACTTCAGCAGCCATGCAAGGTTTGGTGGACTCGTTTGTTTATGTGACTTCAGTGAAGCTGAACATACTCTAAAATGCATCTAAGGCCACTTTAGCGTTTCTGTACTGCTGTACTTGAAGCTGACTCAAATGCTAACGCTAGCATGGCATCACAGTGAAGTGTTTAATGTCAGTCACAGATCAAACTGTCATTTCAAGCTAAGATTGTGCTCTTTGCTTCCACTATTCGTGAATTTAATATTGCTTCTGAGTGAATGTGCGATGTTAATACTGGGGATCTGTGTGTGGTGAAGGCTGAACCTGGTAATAGACCGCACCGTGGCACGAGAAACGACAAACACTTAAAAACAGAGCGAGAAGAGGAGGACGACAGGGAGCAAGTCCTATCCTGTATCATACGTTTATCTCCTGATTTCTCTCATTTCATCCCTTCCTACTGTTTTTGTTTTTTTTAATCTTGAGCACTTACATGACTCTGGGTAGACTGAGGATCTCTTCCCGGGATCTTTCTGGAGTTGAATCCCTTTCACAGAGAAGATGGATGCAGCTAAAAAAGAAAAACAAAAGAAAAACAAGCAACACAGGTTAGGTGGGACAGTGTTTGTGCAATTAATGTGGATATTCAAGTCAAATGCATGTACTTACTGTCAGCCAGAGTCTGAACCTGTTCTCCAAGACATTTGAAATAAGAGTGTTTGAGAGCATCCTCAGCCAATATCCGCTTCTTCGCTTCAAACTAGGGACACATGAAGACAAAATCATTATGGTGTGCATGATCTGTAAACAGCAGATAATTGTAATTAATGATGTTCTTTACCTGTAAGAGTTTTGAGAGCAAGTCATGACCTTCGTTGTCTATCCTGTGTGACAGAAAGCAGAGAAACAAATTAAGAGCGGATGGAAAGAGCCAAAGAACCGAGAGGAGTGAGATCCAAAGCTGCGCAGGAATCTGCTGTTCCCGCTGTTTCCACATGGTCATTACGTTTTCCTCCAGAAAATCAATCTTAATCTGCACGTGCAGGCCTCCACTAATCGTTATACCTGGGTGCGTGGTTCACAAGGGGTTCTGCGTGGTAGCGGGGAAAGTTGTATGTCTTAAACTCTTCACTGGTGGTGATACCAGGCCAGGTCTCTTCTGTGGGAGTACCTGGAGAAGACAAAGAGCATAATTTAATATACACACGCACACATAAAAGCAAATGCTCATCCAAATTCCACTGGTGTCTCACCAAGGATGCGGAAGATGAGATGAAGCTCATCCTCCACAGTTGATCCAGGGAAGAGAGGTCTGCCTGTGATCATTTCATAGAAGATGCAGCCCACACCCCTGCAAGAAAGACAATAAAGTAGTGTTTTAGTCATCTATTATGCAGATTCAGGCTGCCAGGGGATGTAAAACTATAAACGAGTTGCAAAGAGGTTGTTTTTATCTAATGCATGAAGCAAAAGATTTTTAAAAATCTAACTTTCTCCAATTCTACACATAAATATGAAAAAAATAACTTTATTAACCAAATTCTACAATCTTTGTGTCATAACAAAGTGTGTAAATGCTGATGAAAGACAAAAGAAACAACTCTGCTCTGAAACATGCTGGTGCCTCAGAAGTGCAGCGGCACAAACAATGAAAATGTATTATTGATACATGTGTCCACTCACCACATGTCGATGGGTGTGGAGTACTCAGTGGAGCCCAGCAGCACATCTGGTGGTCGGTACCATAATGTCACAACTTCGTTTGAGTAGGTCTTCGTAGGTACCGACTTAGCTCGAGCCAAACCTGATTTAAATAGTGAGACTAGTTCATAAAAATACAGTAATGTGGGCACCACCTGTGAACCTGTGAGAAGATGTCACATCCAAACTCTGTAACAGCTTTTCAACTGTGCACAGTGTCGTAGTTGATGAACGTTTTGTGTTCTATGACATCTTTAACCTTACATATTTACTGTTTATTTTTATAAAGCTTGCTATG